GATCCACATTAGAGAGTTAACAGTTAACACTAAGTCAAAAATTTGAAGACACACCCTGCAATTTAAAGATTTTCAAATTGAGTAAGATCGACACAAAGACAAAATAATTGAAATGCAAATTCAATTACGTAATGTATGAAACCGATGTGAAAGTGAGGCTTCATATAGGGTTGCATTTGATAGAAATATTGCATTTGATTTTTGACTAATTGACACAATACACATCTTAATCTAATTACGTACGTAAAAAATCATAATAATAATATTCTCATAATATTAGAGATTTAATTTATATCACCAAAAAAATAGTTCAATATTTCATCATTGAAGAGCTCCTAAGCTTAGACTAAAATTTTAATATTGAATATTCATGTTCACTTAAAAATAGGTTAATTCATAATTGAAGAGTTTCAAAGTTCAAATTTTAAAATTTGATCTGTTGCAAATGTGAATAATTTAGAGTGAATAATATATCAAAAGACTTCAAACATCGAGAGAGGAAATCATATCTAAAGTTTGAGACTGTTTAGAGGAGATTTAAATTGTTCGATATTAAAAAACAATCAGTTCGTTGAGAAAAATGCATTTTGTTGTGGGTGTGTAAATATTATATAAGTAGATATGGTTGTATACACATGTGATACATATTTATACCTCATATATGCATGATTATGTATTGTTCACACAATGTTAACACATTACATAACTATTTATACAATGTCGATATATTGCATATACATACGATCATTTTATTTGAAAGTATTTGTTGTCACTTGTACAGTTACTCAAGAAGCCCAAATTTAAAGAGCACCCGTTTTAGGGCATTTATGCGAAGGAAAAACTACATAATTAAATAAGCATAGTTGTTATATATTCATAATCTAACAATACTTTCAAAAGATTATCTAACATAGCTAAGGTTTTATAGAAAATTTCTCCCCTCTTGCCCCCCCCCCCCCTCCCCTTCCTTCCATGTTTCCTTCTCGCCCTCTCTACAATTAATTGAGTGAATCTTTCTTCTTCTCCTTCTGTGTTTTCTATATTAATGCGAAATTACATAAAAGATTAACCTGAATTATTTCTATATACATCTTTGGTTCTTGGTCTTAATTATTTTCTGGGTGGCTATTGATTGTTGATTCATTTTTGTTGTTGAATTAGCGTTGATATATCAATTTTCCATTATAGGTTCTTGATTTGTTATTCAATGTAGAAATCTTCTCTTCTTCTTGGATTAATACAACCAAATGTATCTATGTATTTGAAAAATTATATTTGTATATAAAAAGATACACATATCATCAAACTATATCTTTTTTTCAATTGATACAATCAATTATATTTATGTATAAAAAATAGTATAAGTGTTTTAAAAAAGAGCAACTTTCACATATAGCAAACACAAAATTCATATTTGTATGCTATAGAAAAAATTGCATAATTGCGCTCCATAGCAAACGTGCTATGACTAGGCTATTTCGCTATACATATATACAAAAGAAACAATTGTATAATTCGCTGGCTCCTCTTCAGATTTGTATAATTTCGCTGACAGGCCATTTGTATAAATTGTCAGCCTCTCGTTTGTATAAATTGTTGAGAGTCTCTCAATTTGATTTTATGTGTTTGTATATCTGTATAAAAGTTGAATTTGTATACAATTGAATCGAAATAAAACGTTTGTATATCAAATATCGTTCTCTCTCTCGCTTTATACAAACATAAATTATACATTGTATTTTGTATAATTTGTGTTTGTATAAAGCGAGAAAGAGAGAAAGGCAAAAGAGAACTGTACAAGGGAATATTTGTATTGTATAATTATAAGTGTATAGGACAAAAATAAATGTATTTGCATGTGTATATACAATTTTCTCTCGCTTTATACAAACAGAAATACAATTTATACATTTCTGTTTGTATAAAGCGAGAGAGGCGAGCGACAGAGAGAGCGAGCGAGAGAGGAAGGGTGGCGAGCGAGAGTTTGAGGGAGAGAGGCGACTGGCAAACAGTTTGCTACAGGGCACAATTAAATCAAAGTGGGGTTATACCATTTAATTTGAATTAATAATTTGCCATTATGTACTATGTTTCCTTTAAAAAATGGATCAGCATATAAAAAAAACCTAATACAACTATTATTAGAAACAACTGTATTTACATATTTATTTCAAGTTTGATACAATATTCTAGCATTGTTCCAATATTTTTTTTTATTTGTGTAATCATAAAAATGATACATACTGTATTTATCATTTTAATTTGGGATGATACAATATGTATTTGTGTATCTATTTTCAATTTCAAACCTAATATCTGAATTTTTGCGCGAGAATGAGAAAAATAGGTAAGAGACTATTGTAATTTCAGAAAAAAAAAGAAGATTGTGTAAATGTGTATCTGTGTATCTCAGTTTTAATTAAGATACAACATACTCAACTCTTTTCTCTATCTCGATCATCTCTCTCCTCTATCTCTTTCGATTTTGCTCATCTTTCTCCTCTTTAAAATTGTTGCTATGAATCGTAAAACAAAGGGTAAATCACATAAATATGCAATAATAAGAAAATATTTACCATCTATGGCAATATAATATTTTTAACTTGATATAGCAATTATTTGGAATTAAAAAATTGTACAGTGAAAGCCTCTCTGTCTCGCTTCTTTCTCTCTTTCTCTGCCATTTTTCCTCTTCCTTCTCTTCTTCTTTTTCTTTGAAATTTTCATTTAAAGAAATATCTTCAAATCAGTTTTTGCCCATATATCGCAATTTCACCCAAAAATACGATAAGAATCATGTGCTCAAGCAGGAATTTCAAATCTCTAAAATCACAGCATCAAGAGTTCACCATTGATGGTCATTATAAAACTTCAAATTTTGAATTCATTATTTAAATTTTATGAATTTGTGATTAGTTTAAATAGGTTGTTCCTACAAATAATTAAAAATATCATTTGGAGTTTATTTCTCAATTTTAACAGGGTTTGGTTAAGTTTAGAATTGATTTTAGGAGAAATATTAGATTGAAGCTCGAAAAATATGAAGTTTACGGAACTGTATCTCAATTGTATTAAAGTTGTATTATATATGTTTCATAACTGTATTAAAATTGAATTAAATCATGAATAATACATTTATAATACATATTGCAAATTTCACTTCCTTTTTAGTGATATCAACTAAAATAATTTAGGTAACACAGTTGTAATACATTACAATATAGACACAATACATTTGTAATACATATTGCAAACTACGCTCTTTTTCTTAGTAAATCAAAATAATTTATAAGACACATGTAATACATGTTTTATTCATGAATTATACATTTTTAATACATATTGCACACTTCACTCCTTTCTTAGTGATACCAACAACAATAATTTAGGTAACACATTAATATACATTTTTAAGACATGCACAATACATTTTTAATACATATTGCAACCGTTACTCATTTTTTTAGTGACACAAATCAAAATAATTTACAAGACACATATAATATAAGTTTTATCGTGAACAATACATTTATAATTTGCAAACTTTCACTCTCTTCTTGTTGATACCAACCAAATAATTTAGGTAACATACTTATAATACATTTATAATTCATATTACAAACATCATTCACGTTCTTAGTGATACAATCAAAATAATTTATAAGACACATATAATGCATGTTTTATTCATGAATAATACAAGTTGAATTCAGTCTATAGATAATTCTCTCGTCTTTCGTTAGTAACGTTTTTCATTAATTCTTAATTCTCTCTTCTAATTCAACTGTAATATTGTGTAATACATTTTTAAGGCAAATTTAATTCATTTTGCAGTTTATTGATTGATTTGTTACTATTGAATTACTTGTTTAATTCATTATTGATACAAGTTTAATTCACTCTATAGATCAATGTCTAGTCTTCATTAGTTACGTCTTTTATTCATGTTTAATTCTCTCTTCTAATTCAACTTTAATATTTGTGTAATACACTTTTAATACAAGTTTAATTCATTTTGCAGTTTATTGGTTGATTTGTTACGATTGGATTACTTGTTTAATTCATTATTGATACAAATTTTATTCAGTTTACTGATCATAGAATGTTCTTTCGTTTGCTACATTTTGTATTCATGTCTAATTCTCTTTTAATTCAACTTTAATATGTGTGTAATACATATTTAATTCAAGTTTAATTCATTTTGCAGTTTATTATGTCTCTTTATTTGTTACAAAGATGACATCGTATCTTCAAATCTAACTTTCTCATGTGAATTCACCTTTAGATATGAGGAAGTATGGGGCACAAATATGACATCATATCTTCATTTATTCAAACTTTCATATCTTCATATATTCAAATATTCATATCTTCAAATCTTCATATATACAAATATTCAAATCTTCAAATTTTCATCAGGTATTAATACAATTATTTATATAACCTTCATTAGAATGAAAATCGTCGACAACGCCAAAGCAACAAATAAAAAACTAATCGACTTCTTCTATAAACTAAGCAGCCCAATTCTTCGATTTCTGAAAATTTCCCTGACTTTTCTATAGATCTTTTGCCTTTGATAAAATCCTAAGTTTTTTTTATACCTTTATAATATTGAAAAATCATAGATAGAGGAGGTACAGGGAGAAAAAGAAAGAAAAAAAGCATAGAGAGAGGGGGTGCAGAGAGGCAGCAGGGCTAGGGAGGAAAAGAAAAAAATAGTGAGAGATAGAAAAAAAAAACGGAGAAAGAGCGCAAGAGAAAATAATAGATCTAATAAAATAAGTATACATAATATTATTATATATTGCTATAAATGGTAATAATTAAAAAATATGTTTAAATATAATAATTATTAATTAAAGGGACTTATTCAAGTAATTAATCCTAAAACAAAAGTTTATGAGCAACTGACCCATAAAAAAATAGGCCTTTTGCAATTACAGAAGCCCAGCCCAAACTCCTCCACCGACCTTTCTTTCCTCTTTACATATATCCCAAAAGTACCCCTATTGTTTTGAGTCTCATCAGAAAAACACAAAACAAAACCCTAATCCGAAGAACGTTGTATATCTTGTTCTCTCTGTTTTAGCGGCTTATCGGAAAATAACAATGGCGGTAGAAGCTGCAAACCAACCAAAAATTCGATGGGGGGAGCTAGAAGATGATGCGGAGGACTTGGATTTCCTGTTACCGCCGAAGCAAGTAATTGGGCCAGACCGTAATGGATTGAAGAAAATCGTGGAATACAAGTTTAATGAGGAAGGTAACAAGGTGAAAATCACTACTACTACACGTATCTGTAAGCTTGCGAATGCAAGGCTTAGTAAAGGGGCTGTTGAGCGTCGTTCCTGGCCTAAGTTTGGTGATGCTGTTCATGAGGATGTTGGTGCTCGTCTTACCATGGTTTCTACTGAGGAGATTATTCTTGAGCGCCCTAGAGCTCCTGGTATGGATCTTTTCTTCTTGTGCTTGGTTGATCTGAATTGGGTTTTTGTCGATTTGTTTTTTTTCTTGATTTCGGTCGTGCTTTCTAATTCTGTTCTTATTGTCAATTGGGTCGTTTTTGTTTTGCCTTTTTGGTCGTGAATTCACGGTCTTTGTATTGCCTTCTCTGTCCTTTATTCTATATTTGTGTTTTTATAGTTGTGTCTTGTATACTTTTTTTTATTGATGTAGCATTGTAATTAATGGTGGTCGTGGATTTATTTGTGATAAAATTGGTAGATGTCTGATCTCTGATCTGGAGTTTTGATTTTGATGTATTAGCAAGCCATGTGTATTGTGAAGTTGGTTGGAGTTCCTTTTGCGTGCTGTTGCAGTTCGTAGTAATAAGGATTAAAAAGTGTAAGGAGGATTATAAAAAGAGGGAACTTTGGGTGAAAAAAGTTAATAATTGTCTTAAAACAGAAAACCTTTTGGATGAAGTTCTTGTTCTCTTGAGTTAGGTTAGAAGGAGAAAGCTGGGTTGCAGGGCTTTTAACTTTATTGTATGAAATGTCTAATAGATTAGTCCCATTCCTTGAACAAAGACAAAGATCATTGCTTTATTTTATTTTTTCCTTCTGCCTACTTCTCTGGTCTCCTATGTGAGTATAAACATTGTTTGCTAAAGCCTAATAACAATTTGATCCAGCATCTCTTGGATTGCCTATTATATAGAGTTGTGCAATTACACGTCGCATGTACAGATTCAAGTTCACACATTATTGGCTACTCAATCCAAGTAGTGAGGCAGGGAGTTTCCATTAAGTGTATGCATTTGTCATGATTGTCTTTAGCTATGGTAATGTACTATACCTTTGATGAAGAAAAAGATTGGTTTTGCGAGTATTGAGAAGTGGGAAGATATACTCCCCCTTTCACTTTCACTTTCACTTGTCCACTTTACTAAATGTAAATTTTCACTTTTACTTGTATACTAGAGAGATTTTATTTTGTGGTAATTAGATGCTGTATATGCGTGTAAGATTCAAGGACACCCATTCTCTGAGCTTAATTTGAAGTTTACCTAACCCCTGTTATTGTGCTTGTGGATTCTTGTAAACAGGTTCGAAGCAGGACGAAGGTAAATCTGGTGGAGACTCTCTGAATCAAATTGCAAAAGCAGGGGCTGTTCTTATGGTGTGTAGGACCTGTGGCAAGAAAGGTGATCATTGGACATCAAAATGCCCCTTCAAGGATCTTGCACAGCCAAGTGAGACCTTTGTGGATAGGCCACCATCAAGGGGGGAAGCACCTGCTGCTGGGGCTGGTTCTCAAAAGAGTGCTTATGTTCCTCCGAGCATGAGAGGTGGTGCTGCAGAGAGAGGAAGTGGTGGGGGACTGAGATGAGAAGAAGGAATGAAGAAAACTCTGTTAGGGTCACCAATCTTTCGGAGGACACTCGGGAGGCTGATTTGTTGGAGCTGTTCCGTCCATTTGGTCATGTCAGCAGAGTGTATGTTGCGATTGATCAAAAGACAGGAATGAGCAGAGGATTTGGTTTTGTCAACTTTGTCAACAGAGAAGATGCTGAGAGGGCCATAAACAAGCTCAATGGTTATGGTTATGACAACCTCATCCTTAGAGTTGAATGGGCTGCTCCTAGAGCTACTTAGTGTGTTCTTTCCTTGACAATACCATGTTTATTTCAAACCAATTTTTTTTCTTTTGCTTCACGTCTAGGGCCTTGCGCTCTCTTGAACACTGTTTTTTATCTTAAGAAGTTATTGAATGAGGAAATATTGCCTAAGAAGAAGTTTTGGAATAATATAGTTTAGCCAGGTTTTTAACAATTTTCTCACAGCAGAACTCTGGAACTGTAATACTCTTCGATTGTAGAGGTCAGTAGTGTTTTTTTGAAACAATTTCAGTTAAGCCCTAGTACATTTGAAGGGCAGTGCATGTTGTCCTTGGTACATTGAGAGATGAAAGCAAGTGCAGTTTGGTAGATGTGTACACGGGTCAATGTACTAGGAATCCAGAACACTAGGGATTAACCAATAGACCGCACCTTTGGTGCTAGCTAGTACTTGAAAGAAATTGTATGACTATATTACAAGTGTTTTTCTGGCTCAGTTGGTTTGGAGAGTGATCATCCGTGTGGATGACCCAGGATCAATTCCCCTCAATGCCTTCGGAGTCGAGTCTGTCGATAGGACTTATCTAGTGCAGTTTATATCCCCTATATGATTTGTAGGCTATCTCGACTTAAATACTAGGCACAGGTATAAATTGTTGAATTCTTCCCTAGCAGCAGGTCACATTGAGATTGATCAATCTTTGATGTAATAAAATTAATTATTTAAAGAGGTTTTCTTTTCAATTATCCCCTTGATGTGTTTAGTTTGACCTATTCAGAAAGGAGAATAGATGTTATTCACAATTGAGTTGCTAAATGCACTTAATTGCTCTTTAATTTTTTTTATTAAATGGGACGCTAGGCATGCTTCAAGATGAGATGACAGAACATTACTCCCCTGGATGTTCTCTCCAGGCGAAATTTGCCACGTTTACTGAGCGGTTGAATCCCCTGCACGCAAGAGAACATTTTTTTGAATCCCTCGATGAAAATCTTGCCTTCACCACTATTGTCTTCAAATCTATCTTCTTTCCTGGTGCTCGATCATGTATCATTATTTTCTGGTAAATGATAAAAATTTATGCACGTTGAACCACTAGTTATTTACAATATGTTGCTGAATTGTATTTGGATATTGCCTTTATCATTTTAATTTTCAGAGTTGCTGACAGACCTGTTTTATTAGATCATGAGGAATGTTCGGGCATCTGGTGTAGATACAATTAGCAATTTGCCTTGTAATGTTCTCGATGGAATTCTAGAGTGCTTGCCTTGGAAAGATGCAGTGAGGATCAGTATCTTGTGAAAATACTGGAGGTACAAATGGATAACACGTCAAGAACTTGATTTTAATGATGAGTTTTTCAAGTCTTTCAAACAAGATGAAGAAGGCAAGAGAATCATTTACCAAGTTCTGTTAGTCCATAAAGGACCAATACTGAAGTTTAGACTCTGTAATTTTACGAGTTGTCCTGACATTGATCATTGGATGCACTTCTTGTCGAAGAAAAATGTCTAGGAATTCACCCTTCATGAAGATTAGGAAATCATTTACCTCATCACCTTTTTGCATTCCGGCAACTAAGGTATTTGGAATTTCAAGATTGCTTGTTCCACCCTCCACACGGTTTCAAAGGGTTTAAGAAGCTTATTAGTCTCGATCTTTTGCATGTCACTTTTGTTCCATCAATATTTACAAATATCATCTCTAAAAGCCCGTTGCTTGAACGATTGAGGTTGTGTTCCTGCACAAACTTTGACACCCTTGAAATTGATGTCGGTAATCTCAAATTCTTTGAGTTTATTGGAGAAACAAAATCCATTTCCTTCAAGAACGCTCCTATGCTTGAAAAAGTTACTTTGTCTTTCATCGAATAACGACTTTTGACTGATACATCTCCTTTTTGCTCCAATCTTACAAAGTTCTTTCATTACATGCCTTCATTGCTAGAACTGAATCTATGCGGTTCAATATTAGAGGTAACGTACATTTGTGATTTTCTACCAATCATAACCAAATGATGAATCTAATTGGTATGTTAAAGTATTTTTTGACTTGCTTCTAGCAGGGGTGGCTCAATGCCTTTAAAAATGAGGCAAACGTCTTAGGCCCCCAAATTTGAGGGGCCCCATTTTTAATAATAATAATAGAATTATTATAAATATTTTTTAAACAAAAAAAATAATTATGTTTTGTCATTCTTTTAGTTCGTTTCGAAACATTAAAGAATGTTTCTTTCTCTTTTGTCAATTTTAAATTTAACTTCCACATGACATGTTTAAGATCACAAGATTAAAAAATATTTTCGTATATATATATATTTGGCTTTGGATTTCAAAAATAAAAGCTAGGCCTCCTATTTATATTTGGCTTTAAGCCACTAATTTGCTTGAGCCGCCATTGACTTCTAGTACTAGATGGATGGAGGATATTGTTTAACCTGTTGTAGAATTTCTACGATGCCAATCATTCTCGTGCTGAGAAGCTTCAAAGAGTTCATGTGAACTTGTTTATGGGTCTTGAAATGAAAATGGAATTTATGAAGTTCATTTTGGCCTCTGCACCTGTACTTAAGGAGGTTTTCATTTGGAATTTTGCGTGTCTCCTTCATCGTTCGGATAAACAAATGATGGACGAGATGAAAGAAATCTGCAGAGCATCACCTAATATTGAATTCATATTTGAATAAGTTTAGTTGGAAGATCGCGGTGAACCCCAAGAAGTCATGGAAGTGTCATGGTTTTGCTTAAATAGTACTTGTGCTTTAGTTTGTCTGTTATGACTTTTCAATCAAATTCAAGGTCAACAAGATGATGCTATGTGTCTAAATGATGTGGCAGCTCCGAGTCAAAATAAAAACGAATCAAAAGTCGCCAAGTGTTCAAAAGGTGTGTCTTGACTGATTACAAGCAAAAGTTACAATATATAGAGAGATACATGCATCATAAACAACATTGTTTCTACAGAAAAAGAATGAAACAAATTTGGTACCATATTTACACAATAAACATTGAATCATTCTTTTCTTACGATAATATTAGTCAAATTGTTAGTTTTTTTTAGAGATCTAACTATATATGGTTCCTTTCATAAAAAGATAAGGCAGTGATTGTTATGGGTCGAACAAGATGGGTAGATCTAGCCGATTTAGAGGTTGTGAATAATTGACAAACACATCCATCTAGATCTATGGGAAGTTTAGATTTTCCTGTTCGTGTTGCTCTCATGACTATTACTACCTTGTTATGAGATTTCTGCTCTAGAACGTATTCGCATAAGAGGTTGTCATGAGATCTTTCACTCCATACTTAGATCCTATGTTGCTCGGAGTCAGGTGCAGATGTCCGATACATGGTGCGGATCTAGAGGTCGGGTCGGATTTTCTATGATCTAAACTTTAAGATTCGTGGATATAGATCCATGGATGGACCGGGGTGGGATTGAGCTAAAAATAATTCATGTACAGAAAACTCGAGGAGAAAATATATATCAAGAGGAGAATTCTGAAAGGAGATAAAAGGAAAGGGAGTGATAATAGAAATTTAAGCATACAAGGTACTCAATTTTCTTCAATTTCACATTAGTTTTTGTTTAGAATTTCTCCCTTGAATTTGGTCAAAGTACCCCAAAGACCAGATTAGGTGCGAATCTCACATCTACTAACCCACACCCCATCGTGTTGACATGGGTGCAACACTAAAAGTGAAGGAATTCGAGCAACTTAGATTAGACCCTCTCATAAACAAATATTTGGAAGAAACAAATGATGCAATACTCATATCAATAAAATCTATTAACATGAAGAAAATTCATGACAAAGAAAGAGCACTGAATTAAAGTTGGGGTACGTTCTGATCTTTATCAGTTGACTCAGTTATAAAATGAGTGACTTACAATTTAAGTGTTGCTCTGTCATATCAATTTTCTGTTTTTTTTTTTCTTTATACATGTTCCCCTTTAAGTATAATCTTGACTTGTTAGCAAGCTATGTTTATTGTTGTTAATATAATTTTTTTAACATAATTTTTACAATATTTTAAATTGTTAATGTATATTATTATTTTTGTCCCAACTTATGTGACATAAATAGAATTTTAAAAATTAACTTAATTTTTTATATATCTTTTAAATATTTAAAGTTGTCAATTATTATAATTTGTAATAATTTTTATGTAGTTTTCAGATAATATATGTTAATTTTCATGTTTTAATTGATCTGTATTGATAGAATTTTATGAAAAACGACGGTATAGTTGGGCAATAAGGCCAGCTAATAAAAAAATATTCTCAAGGAAATCAATAGATAAATAGAGTAACAGATTTACATTCTGATAATTGAATTATCACACATTAGTTACTCTAATCAACAAGACTCAAACAATTTATTTTTTTGGTTAAACAAACAATATTACTCAAATGTGAACTTCAATTCACAGGCGTCCATAATTTAAAGACTTTGGGTGCATCAATATTATCTTAGCTTAAATATGAATTTTAAGCTAAATTTAAAATAAAAATAGTAAAAAAGGACGCTTCGGGTGCATCAATATTATCTTAGGTCAAATATGAGATCTATGCTAAACTTAAAATAAAAACAGTGAAAAAAGGCTTTATAACTGAATTTAAACCCGGATCTCATATGTGATTCTTTTGGCTTGTATCAATGGCACAAGGGCACTCATATACTCCTTATAGGTACAGTGTTAATTATTTCATCCGTCTCTTTTTATATGTCACATTTTTACTTTGCACTTGCATTAAAAAATGATGTAACTTACCTTCTACCCTTATTTATTGTTTTCTTAAGTCAACTTTACAATAAATGATGAATACATTTTCAAGATTAATTAACTACTCTATCAAGGATATAATAGACAAAATATGAATTGTGATTCAACTATTTATAGAAAGAAATGAGATATAAAAAGTAACATAGTGAGTATATCCTAGTTTCTATGATTTCTGAAGATAGATATATATAGGAATGACTCATTTGTCAATTATTTTTCATGATAAACTCAGCAATTGCCAGACAAGCATATGTTGATGAAACACAGGTGAAAGCTGCTAACTGTGCCCCTAACTGTCCTGCATTTCGGGTAAAATCTTACTGCCTCCGGCTTTCGATCTCTCTGAGACTCTCAGTACTGGTAAACATCTTGTATAATCTTTGATTATTTGCTCTCAAATTGTACTTCTTTGTTGAATAATCAACTTATCATCAACCCATCAGGTTAGGTTTTCTTTGGGATTTTTTTTTTTTTATGATAATCATGTCTCTGCCTGCCAGTTTAACCGACTAATTCACTAGTACCATAAGTTGTCCAAATCATCTTGTGTTTTGACGCCTCTGGAATTTGAACCTTAGATATCGTGATTTTCAACCCATCTACTGGCCAGAAATGGTGTGGTAATATCACCGGAAGATTAATTCCTGATTCTTTTTGAACCGGAGAAATCACTTGGTGGATAATGGATTCATGATTCTCCACTTAAATATTAGGTTAGGGTTCGAACCTATTGCATGTAAGAACTAGGGATGGATATTGGTAAAAGGACTGCAAGTAACTAATTAGGACATGCTACAAAAGAATTGGATTGGTAATATTTGGTTATATAACGTTTAACGAAGTCAATCAGAAAACAATTTAAACATTTGGTTTCCACATGTATTAATTGTTAATGACATGGATGAGCCTTTTTTTCAAACATAAATGTCATAGATGATCCTTTTCTCAAAGTTAAATGGTATATTTGAGCCTTTTCCCCTTTATTTAAAAATATAAATGGGCAAGTTAGGCATACTTCAAGAGCTTAAAGTAAGATGAGAGGAGGAAATTAAACATTACTTTGTGGATCTTAATCTCACATTACTTCGGTGCCCTGGATGTTCTCTCTTTGACATGCTCCTGTTTTTATGTCTAAGGAGTTATAACTCATTGTGGTTGCTCTTCGGAGTCTATTTTATCTACTAAAACTCCATCATTGGATAGTGTATATAATTACACTATTGTCTTCAATCTATGTTCTTTCCCGTGCTCAATCATGTATCATTCTCTAATGATGTTGAACCACTAGTTATTTTCTATACATTAACTGAAATGTATTTGGATATTGCCTTCATCCCTGATTTTAATTTTCAGAATTGCTGACAAACTTGTTTTGTTAGACCATGAGGAATGCTTGGACATCTGGTGTAGATACAATTAGCAATTTGCCTTGTAATGTTCTCGATGAAATACTTGGGTGCTTGCCTTGGAAAGATGCAGTGAAGACCAGTATCTTGTCAAAAGACTGGAGGTACAAATGGGTAACACGTCAAGAACTTGATTTTAATGATGAGTTTTTCAAGTCTTTCAAACAAGATGAAGAAGCCAAGAGAATCATTTACCAAGTCCTATTAGTCCATAAAGGACCAATACTGAAGTTTAGACTCTGTAGGATTACGAGTTGTCCTGATATTGATCATTGGATCCACTTCTTGTCGAAGAAAAATGTCCACGAATTCACCCTTGATGTAGGCTTAGGAAACAAATATCATTCACCTCATCATCTTTTTACATTCCAGCAACTAAGGTTTTTGGAACTTAAAGATTGCTTGTTCCACCCTCCACTCGGTTTCAAAGGGTTTGAGAAGCTTATTAATCTCGATCTTGTGCGTGTCACTTTTGATCCATCAATATTTACTAATCTCATCTCTAAAAGCCCGTTGCTTGAACGATTGAGGTTGCGTTGCTGCACAAACCTTGACATCCTTGAAATCGATGCTGCTAATCTTAAATTCTATGAGTTTATTGGAAAAACAAAATCCATTTCCTTCAGGAACGCTCCTATGCTTGAAAAAGTTACTGTGGCGATCCTTGGACGGCGACTTTTGACTGATACATCTCCTGTTTGCTCTAATTTCCCAAAGTTCTTCTATTACATGCCTTCACTGCTGGAACTGGAAATAAGCGGTACAATATTAGAGGTAAGGTACATTTGTGATATACTATCATAACTAAATGATGAATCTGATTGGTGTTTTAAAGTAATTTTTAACTTTCTTGTAGTACTTGATCAAGGGAGGTTTACCAGAGAGTCCCCCAAATGCTCTGAACAATATCAAATCTCTCACTATTTCGTCCATGTCTTTAAGAAACGCCCAGGTGGTTTCAAGTGCAGTTTACTTGATTACAAGCTGTCCTAAATTACAAGATCTTACACTTGAATTTGTAAGCACTCTCTTGTTTTTTTTTTCATTAAGGTGATTGAATATGGTTTCTTATTCATCTGAACTCGCCTAACTAACCGTTCCTCAAATATTCTTTAGTACCAAGTGGGGGTGGGGGATATTGTTGAACCTGTTGTACAGTTGCTACGAGCCCAATCATCCTCAAGCGGTGCTGTGAAGCTTCAAAAGGTCCAAGTGAACATGTTTACTGGTCTTGAGATGGAAATGGAGTTTATGAAGTTTATATTGGCATCTGCACCTGTACTTGAGGAGATCTTCATTTGGAATTGTACACATTGCCTTTTTCGTTCCTGTAAACAAATGATCGATGAGATGAAAGAATTCCGCAGAGCATCACCCAATGTTGAATTCACATTTGAAGAAATCGATATGGAAGGTGGATATGAACATGAAGAAGTCATGGAAGTGCCATGATTTTGCTAACATATTTTGTTTTGTAGCACTTAGTTTGCCTGTTATGCCCTGTCTTGTCTGTCTAATATTATGCCGTATGTATATATGTGCTTGGCTAAGTAAGTTATAACAGTTTGATGAACTATGACTCTACTTGTAATGGTCACTGTATTACTATGTTATTCCTATTTTGGCCCGTGTTATACAATTATGCATATTTAATCTTTAATTAACTTAAATGTGTAGTTTTTGTCTATAAAACTGAATAAATGGGGTAACCTTTTGTCTAAATAAGGAGTAATAAAAAAACGTTTTCAAAGTGGATACATGAAACTTAGGAGGTTCGAATAGGGATAATCGGATCAGTTTGCTAACATCAAGGACAAATTTGTCCTATTTTTAATAGTTCAAGGGTATTTTTGGGACAAATATTAAATGAAGGATATCTTTGTTTCATTTCAATAGTTCGGGATTCTTTTTGGCCATTGTTTTTTTTTTTTTTTGATTTTATGATAATTTTGTTTAGCACTTAACTTCAGTATACACATAAAGTTAAAGGCATAATACATCAGTAGAACCTTTAACTTGATCTCATTTTATGTTTATTCCCTCAAACTTTGGATGTAACTTGTATAAAATTAAACAAATAGACACATACGTCCTATATGACATCCTATGTGACAATTTGCATCTTACGTGGTGTAATAAACTGAAGTGCTGATGATTCAGCCCAATTGCACACAAAGGAAAATGGTTTAACATTCGTGATTTGTATTATATACGCCTTTCCTCAATTGACGCACCCAACGTTATCTTTTATCTTAAGTATACCCCTAAACTATTTAAAAGTTCGTCTCAATTGAATAAATATTTCTTTTGGAAGTACACGTTCTTTTGAAGAAGCACTTCAATTTTTTATCAAAAAATTAAGAATGTGAAACCTTCTGGTTATATTGTTTGATCTTAAACATGTAATAGAAGTGCTTTTCATATATTTTGTCATAAGGTTATATTTATATTTGAAAAATGTTATAAATTATATTTATATATTAAATTTAATATATTGTTAATTTATAAAATATATTTACATACATGTTAGAATATTCAGTTCGGTTAGACATTTTTTTTATTTTCTTTTATAAATTAAAAGGGCCATTCCAATTGTTCGGAATGGTTACACACTTAAACAAAAAATCACGATTTTATTGAAAAATGATATAAATCGATTCGGTACGGTTAGGTTCAATTGGTTTAGTCAATTTTTCATATTCTTTTGACACCCTACATGAGTTATAAACTCAAATGCCTAATTAACACTAGATAGAATTATCTTGTGCAAGCACGGGTCTAGGGGTGTGCAAAAATTGAACTGAAAAAAATGTTATTAGTTTATTGTTATTGGGTTAACAGTTATTTAATGATCTTATAAAAAAAATTATTGGGTTATTGGTTCGATATTGGTTTTTTAATATTAGGTTGTTGGATTAACCGATAACCCATTAAGAATATACTAATTTACTATTTTAATTTTTAATCACTGATAAATATCAAACAAAAAATATTAATATAATCACTGTATTAGACTATAACTATAAGGACCCTACACAGTTAACACTACTTAATTCTACTCTATGTATTTACCCTTTAGGTTTTAGCATTACTTTAGTCTTTAGGTTCACAATGTCAAAATCTAAAGAACTAAAAACAACGTTGGGCTAGCGTTTGCAACGACGATGACAACAAGGATTAGGCAACGACTAGGGTGGTGAATTGCGAGTATTTTGCTATAGTACTTTTACTACACTAACCATAATTTTTGTACTCACAGAGTAATTTGATTTCTCTCTTTTTTATTTCGTGTCAAATTATTGGACAAATTATATATTTGTTTTGAAAGCATTTTCTTACTGGTTAAATTAAAACCGAACCGTTAAAGACCACAAACTAATAACAAATATATATATCTTATTATTTTGATTGTTGGTTTAGCATAATTAAAAAAAATCAAAAATCGATAAATCGAATCGATAATACTTAAAACTGAACTGAACCGATCGATACATACACCCGTACACGGGCCAACTTGCACGGGCCAACACGTGTTGTTCTAGCGAAATTCGTTTCAACAGATGTAATGACATTCTATTGTAGTGAAATTTGTTTCAAAAGATACAATAAATGAAATAAAAATGACAAGTAAAAGAGTTTTTCATAAAACATGGGCCATAATCTTGATTAATTTCTTCACATCAACTGCAAGCATTGTTTATCCTATCAGATTTATAAAATTTGTAAACAAAACGATAATGAAAAAATAAAAATAAGAAGATTTTTCTAAATTTGAAAGAATTGCTAACCTCAAAATTTATGAGATCAAACTGAGAAAGAGCGTGTGAAACAAAAAAAAAAACAGTACTAGAAAAAATAAGAGAAAAGAAAAAGAAGTCTTATATATCCATCTAATATGAGGACTGAGGTGGCTATAGTCAATTAAACCACGTAGTTAATGTATTGGCAATTGAAGGAAAAACCACGTAATATTAAGAAGCTTAGAACTAATTAAATGACAAATATACCCACAATTTGAATTTAATGACCAAAAACAAAGATGTTAAATCACAAACATTAGGGGTATATTTGTACAAATAAGAAAATATAAATTAATTTCAACCTCTCTGTCCTGCATTTTGGGTAAAATCTTACTGTCTCCGGCTTTCGATCTGTCTGAGACTCTCAGTACTGGTAAGTAAGCGTCTTCTATAATCATTGATTATTTGCTCTCAAATTTTAGTTATTTGTTGAATAATCAACTTATCATCAACCCATCAAGCTAGGTTTTGTTTGGGGATTTTTTTTTTTATTGATAATCATGTCTCTGCCTGCCAGTTTAACCTTGGCTAATGCAAGGAGGAAAATCCATATATAAGTTTTCAATAAATTAGATGGGAGGAATATCCATCAACCAAATGTGTTTAAGTTCGCTGCAGGGGCGGCTCAACGTAATTGGGGGCCTAAAGCGAAATTTCAATTTGCGGCCTAAAATATAAATACACTTCATATACGTATTTATTCAAAAAAAAAAATTACACTATTAAGATGAAAATTATTAGTACTTAATATTGTTTTTTGAGTTACTAGTTTTAGGTAAGATTTTATCAACTCAACATTGAAAAACATCCTTTAAGTGAGACAGTTATTATATGTATTGTTAACATAATGATATAAGTAATACGTTGATAATTATTAAATAAAGATAAGAGTTAGAAGTTTAGAATCATAGAATTTGACTCAAAAAGTTGATGACTTAGTATACCTCATTTTAATATGCTTAGAGTAATGCTTGAAACTAAAATTTAAAAAGAAATAAAAAAGAATTTGTAATTCACTTTGTTCAACATTTTTCACTGTTAATTCTTATTTTTAACAAAGTACAAAAGATGTTAAAGTGGATAAAATAATTTATTTTAAAAAAAATTATACTTTTTATCATAAATAACTAATTTTTCTATAAAAAATTTAATACATAATTTATTCTTGACAAAAATTTGGGGCCCCCGGAATTTGGGGGCCTAAGGCAAAGGCCTTATTTTTGAAAGCATAGAGCCAGCCCTGGTTCGCTGTCATCCTATCCTTCCGCCATATTTATTGAAGGGGGTTCAACTAAATACCAGATTGTATTGTGTATGTAGCTAGGTTAAATATTATTTTATGTGTACATATATACTTGTTGAATCCTCTGCATACAAGAGAACATTCCCTTGATGAAAATCTTGCCTTCACCACTAGTCTTCAAATCTATCTTCTTTTGTGGCGCTCAATCACGTATCATTATTTTCTCTCTATGATATAATTGGTAAATGATAAAATTTATGCAGTTGCAGACGTTGAACCACTAGTTATTTTCAATACATTGCTGAAATGTATTTGGATATTGCCTTTAACCCTGATTTTAATTTTCAGAGTTGTTGACAAACTTATTTTGTTGGACCATGAGGAATGCTTCGACATCTGGTGTAGATACAATTAGCAATTTGCATTGTAATGTTCTGGATGCTATTCTTGGGTGCTTGCCTTGGGAAAGATGCAGTGAAGACCAGTATCTTGTCAAAAGACTGGAGGTACAAATGGGTAACACGTCAAGAACTTGATTTCAATGATGAGTTTTTCAAGTCTTTCAAACAAGATGAAGAAGCCAAGAGAATTATTTACCAAGTCCTATTAGTCCATAAAGGACCAATACTGAAGTTTAGACTCCATAGGATTACAAGTTGTCCTGATATTGATCATTGGATGCACTTCTTATCGAAGAAAAATGTCCAGGAATTCACCCTTCATGTAAGATCAGGAAATCATTTACCTCATCACCTTTTTACATTCCAGCAACTAAGGTTTTTGGAACTTCAAGATTGCTTTTTCCACCCTCCAATCGGTTTCAAAGGGTTTGAGAAGCTTATTAATCTCGATCTTATGGACGTCAATTTTGATCCATCAATATTAACAAATCTCATCTCTAAAAGCCCGTTGCTTGAACGGTTGAGGTTGCGTTCCATCACAAGCTTTGACATCCTTGAAATTGATGCTGCTAATCTCAAATTCTTTGAGTTTATTGGAAAAACAAAATCCATTTCCTTCAAGAACGCTCCTATGCTTGAAAAAGTTACCGTGGGTTTCCTTGGACGACGACTTTTGACTGATACATCTCCTGTTTGCTCTAATTTCCCAAAGTTCTTCCATTACATGCCTTCACTACTGGAACTGGATATATGTGGTACAACATTAGAGGTAATGTACATTTGTTATATTACTATCATAACGAAATGATGAATCTGATTGGTGTCTTGAAGTAATTTTTGACTTTCTTGTAGTACTTGATCAAGGGAGGTTTACCAGAGAGTCCCCCAATTGCTCTGAACAATATCAAATCTCTCATTATATCGTCCATGTCTCTAATAAACGCCGAGGTGGTTTCAAGTGCCGTTTACTTGATTACAAGTTGTCCTAAATTACAAGATCTTACAATTGACTTTGTAAGCACTCTCTTAATTTTTTTTCATTAAGGAGATTGGATATGGTTTCTTATTCATCTGAACTCGCCTAATTAACCGTTCCTCAAAAATTCTTTAGTACCCTGTGGGGGATATTGTTGAACCTGCTGTACAGTTGCTACGAGCCCAATCATCCTCATATGGTGTTGTGAAGCTTCAAAGAGTTCGAGTGAACATGTTTACTGGTCTCGAGATGGAAATGGCGTTTATGAAGTTTATATTGGCATCTGCACCTTTACTTGAGGAGATCTTCATTTGGAATTGTATGTGTTTCCTTTTTCGTTCATGTAAACAAATGATCGATGAGATGAAGGAATTCCGCAGAGCATCACCCAATGTTGAATTCACATTTGATATGGAAGGTGGATCATATGAACATGAAGAAGTCACGGAAGTGCCATGATTTTGCTAACATATTTTGTTTTGTAGCACTTAATTAGTTTGCCTGTTATGCCCTGTTTGTCTAATATTATGTAGTATGTATATATGTGCTTGGCTAAGTAAGAACTATTTCAAGAACTGTGACTCTACTTGTAATGGTCACTGTATTATTATGTTATTCCCATTTTTGGCCCCTGTGTTATACAATTATGCATATTTAATCTTTAATTAGCTTAAATGTGTAGTATTTATTATTTTACTATCTAATAAAGGGGAATAGCAGGCAGCAAACTGTCAACACGTCTGCTTGTGTTACCTGCTTATTCCCCTTGGCTGCCTCTTCATCATTTAGTCAACTGATATATGCTCTTTATTAAATTAAAAAAAAAAGGCTGTTACATGCTGCCACTTCTTCATCCAATGAAAATGGAAAAAGAAAATTGTCTTCTTCATCCAATGAAAAAAATGTGAAAATTCATTTAAAATTTCAATTGTAAACTTACTTTCTTAAGATCCTTCATAAGATGGAGTCATGAAAATATTTATGGGCATCATTTATATTTTATATTTATCATTTTTTTATCAATTATTTTTAATTTTATTATAGTCAATTCTTGAAATTCTATCGGTGAAATACCACAAATAATGGGAAAATTACGCGGTTAAGCAAATTTATACTATTTAATTATTCATCATAGTTATAGTACTCGCGACTAACATTATACATTAATTACGTGGGCTGATTTCGAGTTTGTATAATTAGCCACGTTTGTATATATATAATTTGCCAGAATATACAAATACATATGTATAATACACAATTATCTAACCGATATACATATACAATTCACCTCTCTCCCACTCTCTACCCTCTCTCGCTCACCTCTCTCCTCCCTCTCCCAATCTTGCTTGCCATATATACAAATGCATATGTATAATATACAATTATCTAACCGATATACATATACAATTCACCTCTCTCCCACTTTTTGCCCTCTCTCGCTTGCCTCTCTCCTCTCTTTCCCAGTCTCGCTCACCTCTCTTCTTCCTAACATGTAGCTATGAATTGTAATTATCAAACTATAGCTATGGAGAGTAATTAGACTATTTTTGAGTGACTATATGTGAAAGTTCTTCAATAAACATTACGAATTTCAGATAATGATAATTGGGCCCGTGCTTTCTTTCTGGTTTGTCTATAAAACTGAATAGATGGGGTAATCTTTTGTCAAGGTGGAGTCCATCTAAATTAATGGAGTAATAAAAAGGTTTACAAAGTGGATACATGAGACTTGGAGGTCTGAATAGGGATAATTGAATCAGTTTTGTAACATCAAGGGCATTAATTTTTGTCCATTTTTTAATAGTTCAAAGGTATTGTTGGGCCAAAGACTCAATGAAGGATATTTTGTTTCATTTTCAATAATTCGAGATTCTTTTTGTTTTTTTCTCTATTTTATGATAATTTTGGTAAGCACTTAACTTCAGTCATTTTTAAGAACCAAATATACACATAAGGATTATATTAGATTAACTAAAAGGTAATGTGTTTATTGGTTGAATATTAAAAAGATCAAAATTAGATAGCGTCATAACTAGGTGGGGTTATTTTAGTTTTTTCTACCGTGACCTAATATAAAATGTTATATTATTGTTTAGTCCAAACTTGAACAAATCTGGCTAGTAAGTAAAATATGAGTATACATAAGTGTTTTTTTTTTTCGTAAAGAAAAAGGATGAAAACGAGACTTTAGTATATAAATTTAATCTAATACTAATTGATTGACTATCTGAACAATAAACTTTAATTTACAGATAGAAAACTCGCTAATTTGTTTGCTTTATCATTAAGTACCTACTTTTATATAACTTGTGAAGACAAATAAATAATTTAAAAATCTTTTTCATCGACTTCAATAACATATAAATCAATTTTATCAATGATGATTAAGGTGGAGTGGTAAGCATTCGACCTTTAGGTATAAAATCATCTTTATTAAAAAATATTTTTATTCCAATATGTCAAACTTTCTGATACAAATCTAAATTTAATCAAACTTCAAATCATTTTGCCAAATATCGGAGGAAAAAAAACAACGAAAAAAGGTAAGATAAGAAATAAAATAAAATAATTAAATAATGAGAAAAAAAATTAAAATACTGACGCAATCAATCGTTACATAAAATAAAATTTTTTATCATTATTTTGACAATGAATTTAATGGATACATTTCAATAAAATTTAAATAACAACCAAAATACATAATATTTAAACTGACGATACCATACAACGACAACAACCATCCAAGCAAGGCGTTGAATGTTAAAGTGGGATTTAATTCTAATTTTGTTACCTACCACTGGACCGATGGCATGAATTAATTGTGTCACTGAGTTACATTAGGTGGAACCCGTAATTACGTAAAAGTTTTACTACAAATTAGTTGTATTAATAATCATGTATTCATGTTCATGTTACATATATTGTCCGTTTCATATTAGTTGATTATTATATTAAAAAATAGTTGTCTTATATTAGTTGATCACCTTACTAAATCAAGAAAATATTAATTACATTAGATGCTATTAATTTATTTTAAAGTATTTACATTTGTTTGCAATTTCAATAAGTTTTTTAAAGAGTAAATTAATAAATTATCTTTTTATTTATAATTTTTTAAGCATCGTACAAAATAAAAAGTAATCAATTAAGATGGAACAGAGGGAGTGTAGATGTCTAAGTTCATGGCACCAATTATTTTAACTAATATATATACAGCACCAACCAACAGCATATTTCTACATTGAAAAACTTACGGTATATTTTGTTCTCTCCATCATTTATTCTTCTTTACATTTTTGGTAAGACTTTTACTTAATGAATCTTGCATCATCATTTTCTTGAGAATAATATCAGTCTCTTATTCTTAGTTTTTGAGAGATCTAAATATGGGTTTTGATTTATAGCTATAGATCTACCCATAGATCTGGTCGATTCATTTTTCAGTAGAGGTTATGAATAATTGATAAATACAGGTGTACAAAAGTTTTGAAATAGTCATACCCGTAGATATGTGTGACTAGATTTTTATTGTGACTAGATCAAGACCTTTGTACACTTGTATTCTGTCGCTACTTACAACCTCTACTGAAAAATAATTGGCTAAATCTACAAAAAATTTAGATTTTTTAATGCCCGTTGCACCCATAACTATCACCGCCTTATCCTTTGATCAGACAGGGAATGTACGAAGGAATCCATAGTTAGATTCTCTCAAAAACTAGTAAGAGGTTGATCTTGTTTGCAAGAAACATATGATGCAATATTCATAATGTTAAAGTTGCAAATTTGTAAAGAAGAAGAAAATTGATGAAACAAATAGACTGTCAAATTGTTTCCTTTATCCCTAATCACAAATCAACTATAGAAGATAAAGATCTACTGATTTTTATTTTTCCCGTGATGGCTAAAGACGTATTTATGATTTAAATTTTATGGATTTAACTTTAATTTTCTAGGTTACTAATATTGTGTTCATTATATCTTTTAAACTATGATTCAGATCTACTATTTCTTTCAATTTTAATACATAAATATCAGTATTGAACTCATTTTATCTTTAAACAATGATTCAGATCTACTGTTTATTCAAATATTGATAAATTTTTAATTCATAAGTTTATATTGTGTTGATCATAAACCTAATGCTTCATGTTGCATTAAATCAATGAACTTATGCTATATGTTCTTGCATATATGCTTTATGATAAATCATAATTAGTTAACATATATTTTAATATTATTTAATTTTATGATTTAATTATAATAAATTCATACCTAATTTGGTGTGAACATGGAGTGTTGATATATAATTGTTTATAACATAATAGAAGAGATTAAAGGCGTCAATTAGGGAGGTTCCTTTCTTTCTAAAAGGGTAGGCTTAAATTTCAAAGTGGGGCCCAATCTTGCATGGAAAAATAGTTCCTCTTTCTACAAAAGTGTCTTTCATTTTTCACGCCACATCACACACCGTTTATTTTTTACTCGATTTGTTTCGATTTATGTGATACATTTTATTTTGCGAGTAAAATAATTTAAGTTAGATAAAAAATTTACTCATAGAAACTTAAAGTTTTTTAAAATAAAATTTATATTTTTGTAAATTACATAAAAAGTATTATAAATCACAATAATTGACAATTCAAAATATTTAAAAGATATATGAAAAAAATACGGTAAAAACAAACTTGTTTAAATCCCAAAATTCAAAATATATCACATAAATTAGGAAAAAGAAATATATTTTATTATATAGAATATTTAGCATTCGTTAGAAACTAATCAAGTAGGCATCCCACAAAAACACGTACCGGAAGGATGTGCACAGACGAGACCAAATTTTAGAAGAGTTGGAACTGTGTGATATACTAAGCCAAAAGAAATAAATTAATTTTATGGGTGTGTTTGGTATGAAGGAAAATATTTTCTAATTTTTTCATGTTTAATTGGGTAAAATAATTTGGAAAATGTTTTCTAAATCAACCTATTTTTCTCAAATTTAAGGAAAATGACTTCCCTTCAAAACTTAAGGAAACATTTTCCAAAACTCTCTTTCGACCCCCCACCCATCCACCTACCCTATCAGCTCCCCCAAAAAAAATAATTTAAGTTTGTTTTTAAAAAATATTTTCAACTTCAAAATTTCATTTTTTCGCCCCTACCCTCGACCTCCCCCCTCACCCCCCACCCCCAATTTTTTTTTTTTAAAATTTGTTTTTAAAAAATATTTTCAACTTCAAAATTTCTTTTTTCACCCCTACCTCAATCCCTCCCCACCAGCCCCCCACCCCCAAAAATAATTTTAAGTTTGTTTTTAGAAAATATTTTAAGCTTCAAAATTTCATGTTTAAGTTAAATCACTAAACATGGTAAATATTTTTTTAAAATTGGAAAGATATTAAATGGAATAGATTTTTTTTTAAAAAAAAAAACAGAAAAAACAATGTATATTTGAAAATTCAAATTACACATAATCTTTCCTATATAATAAGTTAAAAAAATCTCCACACTATCAC